TTACATATCAAGTAATAGGAAATTGAGAGGGGAAAGGAAAAAGAAAACATAGAAAGAGAGGAAAAAAAATGATGGGGGGGGATAGCGGGAGCAGAAGGGAGGTTGGGTGGAAGGAGGGGAGAAGGGGGTATAAGGAAAGGTGATAACGGAAGAATTAAAGAGGGAAGGGGGAAGTAGGTAAAAAGAAAAGAAACATGTAAACATTAAATAAAAAATAGGCTGGAAGTAAGGAAGTCCACTCTTCCTCCCCCTACAGGCAAAAGTCTCATGACCTTAGAGGGTTGAGGGGAGACCATCAGCCTCCCGGCCACTATATCTAAGAACCCTATTGCAACTGAGTGCAGTAATGAGGTTATAAGTTGCTCAGCCATATCTCCTGTATCTCTTTGTGGATTTGAAATGGATCCAACTGAACAATATAGCAATGAATTTCTGCATACATTCCTGAGCAATATGGATAAGCTCCTCCATTTACTCAATTTTATTGAGTCTCACAACCCATTCCCAAATTGTCGGGGCACTCGATGAACGCCAATGATTTGGAATACACATCCTGCCTGCATTCATCATATGCATTGCCAAGGAGCAGAAATAGTCTCTTCTAGAAAGGGGTCATATGGTGTAAAAAAGATACTGAGCAAGAGTATAGTCTAGAGGGAGTGAAGTAACTTGTGTAATAATCTTGTGAACCTCAGTCCAAAAAGGGGTCAAAGACTCACAGCTCTATCAAACATTTAACAAAGTGTCTTCCTCTCTACAGCAGCTCCAGCACAGATCGGAGCTTTTTGGGTTGCATTTATGAAGGAGAGCTGGGGTCCTTAACCACCTAGTTCTGACTTTGTAACAATTCTCCTGGATAGCTAAATTCATGGAGCCTTTGTGGACAGATGCATTAATCATCTCCCAAACCTCATCTGGAAAAGAGATTTGTAGCTCCCTTTTTCCATATTTCACGCACTTTGTCAGGATTTTCAAGCTGATCTTCCATTAACATCGAATAGAGAGCTGAAATCAGGTGTCGCTGGGGTTTCTTTCTTAGACATGCAGACTCAAAATACATAAGGGGTCCACCCTTTTTTTTCTTTTAATCTCGCTTGTTCTCTCTCTTTCTTTTCACTCCTTTCATATTCTACCTTTCTTTTTAACTCCTACCTCACTCTTACTACACTAGTTTCTTTCTACCCCCAATGGCCCTCCCATGGGACCCATGAATACTTGTGAAGCATTACCTGCTCTTTCCTAACTTGACGCTATGAAGCCTCTAATAAGATTTTTTCCACCGAAGATCTACACAAGGCCCATTACTTTGCCTATAACGTGACACATCTATTCTTACAGACCTATACCAGTCCTTTCATGTTTCTTTCTATACAAGGTATTATCTACTTTTCTTTGTTTTGTTTTTTTTTTTTCATTATTTTCCTGTAGATCAACCACTTCAATACTTTCTCCCCCTTCCTGACTAGGTCAATTTTCTAATTTCAGCATTGTCGAATTTTGAATGACAATTGCTCGGTGCTGCAACACTGTACCCCTATAATTGTTATTTTTTTCACACAAATAAAGCTTTCTTTTGGGGGTATTTATTCACCACTGGGTTTTTTTTTATGCCTTGCAAAATAAATGAAAAAAGACCAAATATTTAAAAAAAAAAATTTGCATTTTTTTTCTTTATTTCTGTTATAAAATTTAGCAAATAAATACGCTTTCTTCATAAATTTAGGCCAAAATGTATTCAGCTACATTTCCTTGTTGAAAATAACCCAGATCAGTGTTTATTATTTAGTCTGTAGCAATGTCCAAAAACTATGGTATATATCTAAAAATTGATCGATCCTGATGGCCTATCTCATTTCTTGAGGCCCACAAAGGTCAGGACAGTACAGATATTGCCCAAATGTTTTTGGAAAGTAGAAAGTCTAAGGTATTTAATAAGAGCCATGGCAAGTTTTTTGGAAGTTGTAATTTTTTGTCTTTTTGGGGGAAAATTAAGAAATTATTTTTTCTTTTTTTTACATACTGTCACCAGTGCAGTACAATGTCATCATATAACTGGCGTGGTGGTGATCAGGGGCAGTGACTGGTGACAGTATGTAAAAATAAAAAAATAATTTTTCTTTTTCATTTTTTTTCTTTTCTATTACATTTTTTTTTTTTTTTTTTTTTTACAATTTTTTTTCAACACACTGACCAGAGCAATATAAATGTTAACATACAAACATTGTACTACTCTAGGGAAGCGATCAGGATTTTTCTTTTTTCCACATTATGCATGTTTATACCAGTGAATTTCACTGGTATGTCACCATTTTTACTGAATGAAATTGAGTAATTTAGTGTGTATTGTTGTGGTTAGCTGTGATTGGCGACACAACAATAGGAATAGGAAGGATAGGTAGGAGGGTGTGGAAAGGAACATTTTTAAGAATAGTCAGACTTAGGCTTTTCTTTCACTTTAAGAAAATGTATGTGACTGTAAGAAAAGTTGGCAAACAATGACACGATTTCCTGATCAATCAAGGCTATATAAAACAGCAATTTATCCAGGATAGAGAATGTTGGCTTACTCATAGTGATTCAATAAAAATTAGAAGACCTCAGTGCCTACTAAATGTGATTTCCAATATTGTCACATTAAATATATAAAGACGCTTGGCTTCAACTAAAGTCTATGGTGTGACTAGGATTTTTTTTCTCAAAAATTTCTGCTGCATGTATTGTTTGATCAAAGTGGAATTGTACCATCTTCCCTAATAGTTCCCATCAGCAATCTAGGCCCTACAATACACCCTTAAAAATTACCTTTTATAACTTTGGAGGAAAATTAAAGGTCAGAAATGTACATCATAAAGCTTATATGCACATAAAGTGCTTGAGGAACAGATGCGGATTATGAGGAAACCAGATGCAATGCCTAATAAAGAGCTGCACAACCCAATCTCTCTTGCCCATAAGTATATATTTTTTTCACTAGTCTCCTCAGTCCCTACTAGGTGGAGCTTACAATTTATGTTCTTAAGCTAAACTCCAATTGAATTAAAAATGCTCCCTTTTAATGAAACTGCACCCTTAAAGGTTAAATGCATGTTTCTGTTTAGGGGCCCTTCTACTTACCTGATCCTTTGCTCCTGCAGACTCTTCTTCCCTGCACTCTGAAATTCAAAGTTCCTCTGACATAATCAAGACTAATGCAGAGCCCACAGTCCTGCACTGGATGTGAAGATGCTAAGGAACAGTCCACCTCTAGAGCATAGGGGTGTGCAGTCTGCCTGAAGAGGAGGATTGGTTAAGTAACTGCTATAGTGGTTATGATTTAGAATCACTGTCAGGATTTTCATGCTATCTGCGTCCCTGATTTATGCTCTCAGAGTGTCCTGATCACTACTGCCACTGGTATAAAAAATGAGGGTAAATTCATAAATTTCAGTTCCCATTGAAACAGAAATTGAGGTGAAATCCTCCAACGGGGATACTTCTTCCTGTGACAACTGTTTACCCGCTAGACGCCGAGCGCATGCAAATATGCAGCTGCTCGGTGTTTGGACCTTGACACCGAGTGGCCACATATTTGCGTGCCATTAGAAAATACATATGTGCTGAGAGCGCACGTTCCCAGCACATATGTCCGTGACTCAAGGAAAGGTCCCAATCTCCGCTTGCGATCGAGATCTTTTCCAATCATGTGACCGCCATGACAGCGAATCATGGCAGTCACATGACCCTAAAACCCCCTCCCGCCTCCTGGCTTCTGAAACTCTTAAAGGTCCGGGAGGCGCCGGCGCAAAGGGGTTAAGAGGCAACTTTCCTCATATTTGATAGATCTATTCAATTCCTGCTGAGTCTACAGGACAGGAAATAAAAAGAAATCTCACTAATGTGACATAAATAGAAAAAAAATAGCACAGTTTTAACTCTTCTTCATCCAAGATAATAAAAGAGGTATAAAACACACATACTTTACTTTCAGTGAAGGAAGAAGCCATTTAATTGAACGAGGGAGCAAACACAAGAGGCCTTTTTTAAAGGAACCTTCACTTGTGCATTTCATTGCAGAGATCTAATGTGCAGGTGGTAACGTATTATGCCAAACACTAGTTTTGGATAGAGTGTAAAGGGAATAGAATGCTTGTCAGTTTTTACTGCAGTCTATGCCCCCATTAAGAAGATCCACCCTCTCTATTTGTCCTGTTTGCCATTATCATCAAAAGTGAAAGTAAAAGAAAATCCCAAATTTTGGGTTGTCCCCAGAAAAGTAATAGAGAGAAATCTTCCAATGGGGACACTAGTTCTGGTGACTTGGGGTTCCCAAGAAATTCTCTTAATTTGCAGGGATATCCTCTCACTTCCTGTTTGGCTATGAAACAGGAAGTGAAGGGAAATCTCCACAATAGGACACAGATGGCGGAAAAAAAAACAATCTGACAGGGGTTATAATCCTCCCTAACTCTATCCAAAATGAAAAAAAGTTTTTGTCTACAGTTCCGCATTAAAGCTATGTCACGTTAAGACATTCTATTCATCATAAATAGGCTACCATTTCAGCAGCAGGGTGACATCACTGGCACATGCGTACTGCACTCTAAATTGAGGGCAAACTGAATAAATTCAGAGCGCTGTGCCACGATTGTGGCCCCAGTGTCAATGTGCAGGAGTGATGTCATCGTGGCATGGCCATTCAAACCACTGGGGCATGCAAACCTGGTAGAAGACAAGTTGACAGCACACCGCTGGAGGGATCCCTTTTACAGGTAAGCCTATCATAATTTGCTAGTATGTGATGCATACGCCATTAACTTGCGGGGAGGGCTGTTTTAACCACTTGCTGACCATGCTATAGCAGCGTGCACCCGGCCTTCTCTGTGATTGCTGTGTCCTTCAGACACAAAAAAACAAAAAAAACAAAAAAAAAAGGCTTCTCTACTGCTTTAAAGAAAAAAAAAAAATTCACTTCTGCAGTATTTCTTTTTTTTTTTTGCTGCAGTGCACTGCAACATACTGTATATTGTGTGTTTCGGTGTACTGCTGAGCGCTGTAGCACAGCTGTGTTGTGTACGCAATGCACTTACAGATCAGGATGCAGTATCATGGTACATGAAGCACATGGTATGGAACGTTGCTGCTGTATACTATGTGTGAATAGGCCCTAAGAGTTTCAACCTAAAAAGTAATGTTACACCCCAGTCAAATCAAGCCTGACCAGGGGCGGACTGACCATTTGGAAACTCAGGCACTGCCCGAGGGCCCGGGGTCAGTAGGGGGCCCCATGAGATGCCCCAGGTACCTTTTTCATAGGATTTTTTGAGTTTGGCCAAGGCCACAGGGGCCCCATGATCCCCTATTGCCCGGGGGCCCCATGAGTTGTCAGTCCGCCCCTGAGCCTGACTCTGAAATTGTGCGACTTACAGTAAAGTCGCACGATTTCAAAGTCGGGGGACATGCCAATTTCAGGTGCAATTTGCAAGATGTCTACACTCCCCATTGTGGACATTCACGTAGCGCGGTTTTTGACCAAGCTGTTATTTCATGATGTGCCTTTGATTTTACTGTCGTTGTGAGTACAATACTTATTTTTATTTCATATTAACCTCCCTAGCGGTCTGATTATGTCATTATTTCTGTGCTCAAAGCGGTGCAATGTTTTCAATGGAAATATGTTGTATTTTTATTGTAGGCCTGTAATTCTTAGGAATAACTCACTGAAATCTGTCCGAACAAGAGTCTAGTAAACATCCCGGGTATGATAAAAATTTGAACCATGAAATCATAAATTATAATATAATCATAAAAAATAATAATAATAAATTTAATTCAATAATGTAATCAAACCAAAAACACTGACATTTGAAAAGAGCTCAAAGTTCGCACATCACTGAGCAAAGTCGCAAAATCGTTTTCAGTGTCTGATGACGAATTTCCCCACGAATCATTATCACTCAATTCTGCAAGTGGTTCTGATTTACTATCGCTGTTCTCTAGCTGGTATAAAACCGCTTATGACCTAAAGGGAAGCTTTTTGGACGCCATAGACATTTCCCAGTTTCCAGGCAGAAAGAAGAACAGTAAAAATGCAGGCAGGGCACAGGACAAAGCACTCGGGACAAAATGTATGTGAAATGGTTTGATACAGTAATGTAATACTATCAGATTTTAGTATACTGCGTGAATGTCACATTTTTACATTTTGGAATTTCCCAACGGTTCCGCCCTCCGTACGTCCTGACGCTTGCAGGGAGGAACCCAGAAGATGGAGCTGGCATCGGCAGGAGGAGATGGCCAGGGATGCTGCAGGGGGGACATCGCGGGAGTGCAGGACAAGGTAAGTGCTGGAGGGATCCCAGAGCAACGCTGTAGGGTAATCCCGAGTGTATCTCGGGGTTACCGCTTCTGGTACTGAAAGTTAACCCTGAGCTACACTCGGGAATACCACCAGGGAGGTTAAACATTTTAAAGGTAATGCACTAGGCTGGTGCGCCCTCAGTTTGTTTTTTCTCCACTCAGTACATTTGGATTTCCCCGATCTTTTGAGGTCAGCAAGGTGTGCATATTCCAGGATCCTGGACATTTATGATGTGGTCCTAGCCTACACTGAGTCCATCCCCAAGCACAGCAGCATTTGTGTTTGCTGGTTCTCTGCGATTGCAAGACATCTGACACAGATGTCTATGTAAATGGCACCAAAAGTAGTGCATGTACCACTTTAGAAATGGGTGCTGCTTCGAACAAGTTGGAACTGCACCGATATGACCACTGTAATTGCAGACAATAGGCTGCAAATCACATGCCAAGTTGCACCCAGTGTGACTGGGGTCTTACTGATCCCAAAATGGTAATTACATGGCAATATTAATTTTTTCTAAAATCAATCCCTACTAACAGGTGTTCCCTACTGTGGTCACAGTGTCTATTGTACACAATTAGCACTATGCTCTTGCCATCACTGCAAGGATCACTATAGACACGTCAATGCTGCCTGCTATAAACTTAATCTAAACTACATCAGCTGTAGCATGAGCTTCAAATACTTTAGAAACCAGATGTCTCACATCCTTGATCTAGCTTCATTGAGCTTCTCATAAGAGAGAACAAGAAACGAAAACAAACACTGCATTAGATCTGATTACTTTCTATTTCGGGGGCTACCACACAAGCAGCTGCACTCGTCTGCTCAAGGAAATTATTTCTTATGTTCTAAATCATTTGTTTGAATAACAAGGTTAATTTAAGGCCACTCACTTGTATAAAAATGCGTTATACGGTATTTAAAAAACGCATTAAAAATGAATCTTATCTTATACAGAAGACACGCACCAGAATTTCCCAACACGATGGGGAACAATGAAATGTTTATGGAAGGAAGACTCACTCATCTTCAGTGTCAGAGGAGCGAGGCTTCAGGAGCTCTGTTGAAAGGTAACTTCCAGGACACATCCAGTGACCACATTTGTAGGTCATGGCCACTAGAAAGATAAACCATCAGCGAGTCTTGCCTACTGAGTGAAGCTGATGAATAGGAATATCAGCGGCATTTCTTAGCCTGTCTGGACAATACTCATCCTCTTTCAGAGAACTAAAGCTCCCTGGTCTAATTTCAGCTTTCCTGCATCAGCTCATATTAGGGACAGATGGACATGCTGAGGACTCCTGACGCGAATACCAGGATGTAATCAATGCGATCTCCGCATTCATGATCAAGAGAACATTTGTTTTGTTTAACGGAAAGCCAAGACTGGACAAACATAATCACTGCCAAAACCAGAGAAAATTAGCAAATATAAACAAAAAAATTAGGCACATCCAAACATGGTATAGGAAAAAATAAATAAAAAGAATTAAGTGATACCAACCAAGTATTTCTGGCATCATGTTGTAGCTCTTGCATAACACATGTAGAATAGCATGTTTCACATTTTCCCATAATTGCCAAACCTTTAGTATTTCATTTTTTTATGGTTCACATACTTTCATCTAAATGTTGCCTTACCCCTGGTTCACATGTCCGCGTTCCTGTGGTCCGCGTTTTGCGCGGGCATGAGAGCCCATTGATTTGAATGAACTCCCGTGCCCCAGGACACGCAGAGAAGCAGCTCCTGCCCTTCTAAAAATGCAGTCTGCACGGGAACCTCAGTTCCCAGTACGGTTGCAGTTTCCAGTGTGGGCAGCGTGCCATTAAAATTAATGGTACCCGCCCACGGGTCCGCATTCTTCTGTGTGGGCGGTGCACGGATTTTTGTGCGGATCCGCAGAGGCACCACCCAGACATATGTGAACCAAGCCTTAAAGTGCAACTTAAAGGTTACTAAACCCACAGCAGTAATATCAGTCTGTATATGCAGTAAAGCATGCTTGTTATACTCACTGTGGAACCTAAGGGGTTAATCTACTGCATTGTGTAAAATGGCTGTTTGATCCTTTCTTCAGTGCCCCTCCTCTTGCTGAAATGACCACCTGATACAGACAGAACCTGTGGTCACATGCACATGATCAGCTTGATGTGTATTGCTAGAGGGTTTTTTTCTTGAGAAAGTGCATGTGATCAGCAAAGGGCCAATCAGCACTGTCCAGACAGAGGGTAAGGGGTTCACATCCTCCTAGAGCAGAAAGAAAACTCCTACTACAAGCTTTAACCAGTGCTCTGCTGAAGTCACAAGACTGCTCTAACTGCTGATGAGAAAAGGTATTTAGCAGTTTATATTTACTAAAATAATTGCATTTCCATGTTGTGTGTATTGTGGGAGACCAGATATAGTGAATTCAGGGTCCTGGGTATAGTAGCACTTTAAGATTAGAAAATTAGTTCCTGATAGATCACTTCAGGCTGAGCCCTTCTGCAGGTATACTGTAAATACGTAAAACATGAAAAATAAATGATATATGGTTTAAAATTCAGTAATGTCTCATCCTACTCTGCACATGCTCAGTTGCCTTCTAATTTTCAGCATTGTGCCGAATTTGTAGAGGTCGATCTGCTGACATCCTAAAGATTTACTGCCGCTCAGGGGCTCTGGGCTTTAGCAAAATGGCAGCCTCCAGCAAGAAGGAACAAGGAAGATGCAAGAGGCACATACAAATTTTAGTATCATAATATTAATGTGGAATGTATGTTCCTTGTCAACCATTTGTGAACCACCCTCAATGTACTATGGACGCAAAGACAAAGTCTGTCTGCTTCTGGGTTTGCCATCCACAGCAGGAACATGTCAACAGGTCCCAGCCAATGATTCATAGCTGAGACCTGCTGATCAGCTGTGTACAATCACAGCCCAGAGCTCTGTGTAGACAATCAACACAAGGCTCTGTACAGAGGGAACAATGTCTCTGTTTCTTAAGGATGGGAAACTAAGACATCATTGGTAAAAAGCAGCACACTTTATACATAGTAAACATTGTTAGACTCGCATTTAAGCCCTTGATTTCCCTATATGTTAACCCCTTTCCAGCCAGAGTCATCAGTACAGTGCCAGTGTATATTATTATTAATGATCACTGTATTAATGTCATTGGTAATTTAGTGGCAGTTAGTCAAAGCCACCCAGCGTCAGCTTGCTTGCCGCATTATTGCAGTTGCTGATCACCTCCATTAGTAGAGTGGAAAAAAAAAATTCCAGTATACATACCATAGCTTGTAGGTTCTATAACTTTCACGCAAACCAATGGATATACTGTACACTTATGTAGCAGAATACATTTTGGCCAAAATTTATGAAGAAATTCGATGTTTTAAATGTTTTTTTATAGGATAAGTTTTGCAGCATAAAGTTAAAAAATATTGTTTTTTTCTCCCAACATGTTTGGTCTTTATTTTTATATTTTTAATCGCAAAAAAAGAAGAAAAACAAAATCCAGTGGTGATTAAATACGACCAAAAGAAAGCTCTACTTGTGTGAAAAAAAGGAAAAAAAATGTTGTTTGGGTACAGTGTTGTATGATCGGGCAATTACCAATTTAACCACTTAAGCTCTCCTGTGCTATATTAAGAACAAGGTGGTAGAAGTATGGAAAGGCTGCAAAGGCGTATATCCAGAAAAAAGTTTTAAGTATTTCTTTAATGCATGTAAACAATAAGTTATATTTGTATCCTGTTACCAAGCTGTAACCTAGCAATTTTCTAGCACCTCACTGAAAACTTCAATTGCAAGCTTTTCGTACAAGTCACTCTGTATCCTACCTTTGCTATACATTAGCCGTAATGCTGACATTTTTCTGGTCTCATAAGAGAGAACAAAGTGGGGTGTGTTCCCTCTAAGAAACATGACAATCTTATACCAAATACGCTTTCCTAAATACTTCAAGTTATGTGTTCTCTCTGAATTCCTTTGCAAGATGATGTCAAAATTTCCATCCCCTAAAAATACCATAA